CATCTGCTCAAACCTCAACCCTCCTTCCTCTTGTTCAGTAGCCTTACAACCTGTGGGTAAAAACTGTCCCTAAAACGTGATGTGCGCGTTGGGATGCTCTGCAAACGTCTCCCTGATGGAAGTTGGGAGAAGAGATTATGTGCCGGATGACTAACATCCTGTATAATACCTAGTGTCTTCTTTGTGCTGCGTTTCCAATAAATGTTTTGGAGCGATTCTAATGGAACCCCAATAATTTTGGATGCAGTTTTATCCACCCTTGTCAGTAGATTCAATTCACGTGAAGTAGCCCTGCCAAACCACACTGTAATATTACCTGTCAAAATACTCTCAATTGTACAGCGGTAAAATTTTTGTAAAATGTTGAGTGACATACCATATTTCTTGAGACACCTCAAGAAATAAAGCCTCTGATGTGCCTTCTTAATGGTACAAGTGATATGAAAAGACCATCGAAGGGAGTCTGAAGTATGGATGCCTAAAAATGTAAAAGTATTAACAATTTCGACTGCAGTTATTAATGTAGACAGCTGCATGTGTGGGTTTATGTCTTCTAAAATCTATGATGACCTCCTTAGTTTTCACCACATTAAGGGACAGATTATTTCTTCGGCACCACATGATCAAATTACTCACTTCATCCCTATAGGCAGTTTCATTATTGCGGTCAATGAGTCCTACCACAGTAGTATCGTCTGCAAATTTTACAATTCTATTTGTGGGATGTTTTGCAATACAGTCATAGGTATACAGACTATATAATAGAGGACTAAGACAGCAACCTTGAGGTGCTCCGGTATTTAACACAATAGAGGCTGAGTATTTAGTGCCTACTCTAACTGTCTGGGAACGGCCTGTTAGAAAGTCCTGTATCCACCTGCAGATGGAATTACAGAGACCCAGGTCTAACAGCTTAGATATTAAAATAGAAGGTCTGATGGTATTGAAGGCACTGCTATAATCAACAAACAGCATCCTGACATACGTATCCCTACCCTCTAGATGTTGAAGTGCAGTATGTAAAACCAAAGATACAGCATCGTCCACAGCTCTATTTGATCTATATGCAAATTGTAGTGGATCAGTAAAGACAGGAATGCAGTTGTTAATATATGATTTCACAAGCAGTTCAAAACACTTCATAACCACCGAAGTCAAGGCTACAGGTCTAAAATCATTCATACAGGTGGCAGTTGTTTTCTTAGGCACAGGAATTATGATTGATTTTTTTAAAACAATTTGGAACCATACAAAGAGAGAGTGACAAATTAAAAATGTCGCTAAAAACAGATGCAAGTTGTCTATAACATGTCCTTAAGACTCGCGGAGTAATGCCATCAGGTCCAGCAGCCTTCCCTATTTTCACAGCTTTAAAAACTTTACATATATCAGCAACTGAGACCTGATATGCTTGACTGCCGAAAGCATCCCCATCGGGAGATAATATGTCTGTGTGTGCGTTCCCATATGAAGGTGCTTTAACATGCACATCCCCAGTAGGAGATGTTCCCTGCGTCAGCGCTTCCGCGGCGCATTCAAAACGAGCATAAAAATTGTTCAAGTCGTCTGGGAAAGAAACAGAGCTTGTTATGACGCCACTAGGTTTGGCCTTATAACTAGTGACCGCTTGTAGGCCTTGCCAAACACGCCTAGAGTCCCCTTCAGAACAATACCGCTCTATCTTGTAGAACATGATGCCCTCACTTCAGAAACTGGGCCGAACGGCATGATAACGACCCCAAACACACCGCCAAGATGACAACTGCCTTGCTGAGGAAGCTGAAGGTGATGGAGTGGCCAAGTATGTCTCCAGACCTGAACCTTATTGAACATCTGTGGGGCATCCTCAAGCAGAAGGTGGGGAAGTGCCATGTGTCTAACATCCAGCAGCTCTGTGATGTCATTATGGAGGAGCAGAGGCGGACAGAGTACAGAGCTTTGTTTACTTGAGTAAAAGTACAGATACCCCTTGCTAAATTTTACTCAAGTACAAGTAAAAGTACTACATTCAGATGTCTACTTAAGTAAAAGTACTAAAGTACTTGTTTTTAAAAGTACTTGAGTATCAAGAGTACAAGAGTAGATTTTCTAAATATTGCATTACTAATCTACTGCCACAGTGCTTACATTTATGCACAGAAACGTCCTACATGGAGTTATGAAAAATGTTAATGTTAATACTTTGGAGAATGTACAAGGAATTGAAAGTAAAATCAAGTCATTTTCATCTTTTTACCATGTTGCTTTATTTAATTTAATTACATTTTTGGGGGGTCCCATCTTTAAATGCGGGGACAACACACACACACACAGACACACACCACATGTAAGGGTGGCGCTGCCAATAAAGCACCTAAAAGCTGTCACAAAGAACCGGCAAAAGGAATGATTATGAATATGTAAAATATAGCAAGGAGATATTTTAATTGTTTATTAATAAACACTTGTTAATAAACAAGTGTTTTCTTTGTCAGTGTCGGCTAGATGAAGTTGACGATGCTGACTCGCGATCTTCAGTAGTGAACGCGCCAGAGAGAAATGCACATTTCATACGGATTACATAAGCAGAGAACAGTCTGTAGTCTGTTTTCTTTTGTTTTGATTTTTTCTGTTTAAAAGTAGACATGTCTGTGAGAGGCAAGTAGGCTACCTTATACACTCAGTTTCGGTTCATTTATGAGACGAGATCCAGTTCACAGGCCGGCGCCTCCGTTTCTTATCTCTCATCTGCTATTTACTTCTTATTTATTAAACCCATGCAATTGGTTGATGAAACATTGATTAAAATTAAGATACAATTAATACAAAACGAAATTCAGGTTAAAGAAAGGTTTTGTGTTTTCTGTTTGAGGTCTCTGTGAAAGTTTTAAAGCATTTTTTATGCCGCTTTCAGAGCGCTCACGTCCGTAACGGAGAACACGTCCATAACATTGTTTTTTCCTCATAAATGCAAACCGTAAAAATAAAATAAAACAAAATGAATATTTTATGTACTCTGGAGACTGAGCGCCAACCCTTCTTCATTCGCTGGGTAGTAGCCTACTTTGGTTTGCGCAGTGTAATTCACATAATCAGTAAAAATATATTTTGCCTCCTAAAGTTTTTTTTTAAAGAAATCAGAAATCCCTCGTGGCTACGCCACTGCCACATTTGAACCTGACTGTGTTAAACGCACCACATACTCAAGAACATCAAACCAAATGTTTGGCTTACATTAATGTGTAATGTAAAATCTGACCATGGAGTTGACTTTGGCGGAAAGCTGAAAGTGATTGCTGATAGGCTGTCCCAATCAGTGGCGCCTGCACAATCCAAGCACGTTTGAGAGGGAAACAACAAATTGAGGGTTTCCGAGATTTTTTTTTTTACTCGTGTACTCACGGTTATGGATAGAAATGTATTGGAGTAAAGAGTACAATATTTGCCTCTCAAATGTACTTGAGTAAAGTCATGAGTACTCCCCAAAAATGATACTCGAGTAAAGTACAGATCCCTCAAAATTGTACTTAAGTACTGTACTCAAGTAAATGTACTCCGTTACTGTCCGGCTCTGTGGAGGAGTGGAAGAGGATCCCAGCAACAACCTGTGCAGCTCTGGTGAACTCCATGCCTAGGAGGATCAAGGATTGCTAGATAACAATGGTGCTCACACAAAATATTGACACTTTGGACACCGTTTTGACATGTTCACTTAGGGTGTGGTGTACTCACTTTTGTTGCCAGATATTTTGACAATAATGGCTGTATGTTGAGTTATTTCCAGAGGACAGTAAATATATAATGCTATACAAGCAGCACATTGACTTCTATGGAATTGTCCCTTGAGAAGATATACTAAAATGTTTGCTGAAATGTGAGGGGTGTAGTCACTTTTGTGAGATACTGTAGGTTTATCTGTCCCTCGCATACTATGGGGGTGGAGCTAAGACGCCAGGAAAGGAAAGGATGATGCACAAAGGCTCAGGCTGAAGGAAATGCAAACTCATGACTGTACAGTAGAGGGAGCATCTCAAATAAACCTTTCATTGTGTTGCATTTTGAATCGCAGTAGGACCAGAGTAGGACGCAGGAGAAGAAACTTCAAGGCTGCATCTGATATTGCATACTTATTAATAATTACTTCACGACAGCTAAAAAGTATGTTCTATAAATGTGTGTAGTATGAATGTAATCTGGACCTACCAGCGTCAGTTACCTCGCTTCACTGCCATTCACAAATCCTCTCCCGTGGCCTCATGGGATTGTAAAGTGTCGATCATATGCACACTTAAGGATCTCGCCAGAAGTAGTAGGTCATCCGGTTACTTTTTGCCAACTCTTTTATGAATTCCATTTTTGCCATTTTTGTTTATTAGTATGGTTGAATTGGATTATTGAAGTTCAGTAGCAAAGACACTGGTTAATAATTTATTTAAAATATTTAATTACACGTCTGTTATATTCTGAGTTTGCATTTCACAGTATTTATTTTGAGAAATACAAAATCTGTTTTTGTGCAAGTGAGATGAATAAATGCATGCTCACATTAGTCTAGAACTAAAATAACATGCTTACATTAACATCATGTTTTCACAGCGCACACAACACCTCTGCACTTACTCATGATTTTTATTAACATGGGGACGGGAGAGGTGTCAGTCAATAAATGGGAAAAAGTAAATTGCGTTACTTGCTGGAAAAAGTAACTTGGTAACTTTGCTAAAGTAACTTAAAGTAATCTGATTACATGTAATGCATTACCCAAAGATACTATGGTGGAAAGGTGACATTGTGATTGGCTGCATGACATGTTTCTATATTTGTAATAGACTGACATTTTCTAGCAGTGACATCAGTGTAACATGCTGCTTCTCAGAAAACGTGTATTATATTTGTAGTACTTCAAGTTCATGTACATTTTATTTGTGAAATACATGCAAACATGTGCATTTGAAATATTTAAGTATTGAAAAAAAAAATACCTATGCATAGAAAAAAAATTCAACTCACAAACAACAGGATAAATGTTGGAAAAGTTTAATCTTTTTCAACTGCCACTCTATAAAATATGAAATGTGTAAAGAATTACAGTGTTTTGTAGAACAATAAAATGATACATGTGCAAATATAATATGAATATAAAATATTATATAAAACGAAACACCAATAAGACAAAGATCCATAAAAATAAAATTCACCACACTATTGAAAATATATAAATAACACAGTAAAAAACAACAACAACATTCAGTGTTCGGAGATAAAGCACCACAAACAGCATATTTCAAACATCTAGTTCGACTGCTACATTATGTTAATAATGCATAAACCTGGAGTATTATGACAATGTGTTTCTCTGAAGTCTCTCCCACACGCTGGCTCTGTGTTCAGGTGTCAGGCAGGGTTTAATGACATTCTCAATGTTCTCCACTCTTCTTCTGAAACGCTCTCGGTCTCTGGCCATCTGCAGCCAGCAAGAGCCGTCCCGTGCCTCCCTGCTAGCAAAACTCCAAGCCACCAGGGGGTGTACAGTCACCTTATCACTGAAACACACCTGAAATAAAACAAAAGACAAAAGCATGTTATTATCGGATAGAAGTACACCCGACCACTGTAACCTTAAGCCTGTTAGTCATGCAGCACGAGTCACATGTCACATGACATCCTGACTTACAGGAACTGGTTTGACTACTAGCTACCGTCAGCTGTTGTCATGAAAGAGGGACGATTTAGTGTTTTCAGCCGTCTTATAGCAACCACTATATGAATCCATGGAAATTTTATTTCCGTCATCTTCTTATCTTGCATAACTTCTGCTTTCTTTTAAAATGATCTATAATTTTGAATACCATAAATACAGGTTAATTATTATCTTATTACTGCTCATTTATTTGTTACCATTTATTTATATTATTATTTGTTTATTTAACACTGTTGTATATAATAATATTACTATATCAGCTTCCAGGTTGTGGAACCAACTTCCAGTCGAAATTCGGGAAGCACAGCCTCTTGGAATTTTTAAAACACATTTTTTTTTTTTTTTAAAGTTGGCTTATTGTTAATTGTGGTAATCATCACTGGTTTCTTGTTTTGTTTGTTTTTTATCCACCTATGTACTTTTGTTGATTTATTCACGTATGTTCTTTACTAGTATCTTTTTTACACTGTAAAGCACTTTAAGAAGCTCCTTTAAAGGCGCTATAGTTATCATTATTTCACAAAAAAAGTTATCTTTATTTTATTCATTTTTGTTTCCATTTGTGTTATGGTTAATTAAAACTTAAAAACTGCTTTTGTTAGCTGAAATTAAGCTGATGTAAAATAAAATATTCAATGAAAAACTTAAACTAAAATATATTTTTTTGGCTTGGCAACTAACTGAAATAAAATAAGTGTAAAGTTTAAGAACAATAATGACTTAACTATTAAACTAAAACCGAAATAAAAATAAAATCAAAGCTAAATATTAGAAAACAAAAAGCACATAAAGTTACTAAAATAACATGAAAACTAAAAATAATTCAACTAATAAATAAATACTATAAATAACACAGGTTTTCCATGAAATGTTTACCTTCTTCCCTCCCTCCTTTGAGTTTGGTTTTGGATGACACTCTTCTGGCCTTGTAGCTGGTGTAGGTTGAGCTTTATTCTGTGAGCTCAGAGTTAGTAGGTTCTGCTTAGTGTTTGTCCTGGAGCCGGTGGACGAGCAGAAGCTCAGAGGGTTGTAGGGGTCATTGCTGTTGAGGAAGGATTCCCAAAGCTCAAGGCTCTCAGCTGATGCCTCAGAGTCATCATCATCATCATCTGACCATTCAGAATCCACATCCTGTGGCTCACAGTCTTCCTCTTCATTGTCCTCATCATCTTCTTCCTCATCAGTTTCTTCATCAGACTCCCATTCTGAGAGGCTGGCTTCATCATCTTCCTCTTCATCCGAATCAATCATTGAGGATTCCCGCTCAACAGCAGGCTCGATCAACTCATCCTCATCATCTAACTTCATAACAACCTTCATCTCTGGATCCTTCCCATCCCAGATTTCCCTTTCCAGGGCCTCCACACCTCTCTTCTTCAACTCGCCGGTCATGGTCATGTTTTTTCCCACACAAATGAAGAAAAACATCTTGGAGCAGAAAAGCTTTGCTACACTCGTACAGCAGTTCACAACTCTTTGGATGACCTGCCACAGATGGAGTCTGATCTTCATGATGGACGTTTTGCGATAATAATTAAGATGTAGATCTTGATGCGTTCCAGGTTTACTGGACAAAATCTCAGGACTCATCTTGGATTGCATGAATAGAGATTCCTGAGGTAAACGGCACTGATATGGCAGTGGACGATGTGGGGAAATGGTGAATGGTGCCATAATCACACTCAACTCAATCTGTAAAAACAAAAAACGCCATAAAACAATCAATATTTTTAATTATATAAATGTTAAAACCAGTGGAAGATTTCTCAGTACTCAAAAGGGTGTTGTTTGCATTGTTGCTACAACATACAGTATGACACACCAATGTGACACAGCCTGCCTTTCACTGCGTGCTGTCTAATAACGTTACAGAACAACAATAAAAAAATACCCATGATACCAAGATAATACCATGGACAAATGATATAAACCATTGTAAATATGTTTAACTAAATTGCCTAATTTATAGGTAGGCTACATCGAATAAAATATTTTCATTTTCCAACATCACGAGCGTTAATAGACATCTAAAAGGTTCTTACCTTTGTGAGTTTGTCAGCCTGTCGCTTGGCAGTCGCTCCAGCGAAGATTTGGTTCTCCAATGTTGAATGTACTAACGTACCCTAAAACACTGTTTGAGCAATACGACGACTTCAATTTAAACATAAACTCCATGTTCGTTTTGTTCATCAACATCTCGCGCTTGGTTCGTATTTCATGTATGTCATTATTCTTTGCCGTAAATAGAAATGCTGCTGTGAGTGACGGCGAGTGTTTATATAAACCGTGATGACGTTGTCATGCGGAGGCGGGACTTGCGACTTGCGTCTGGGAAGTCACGTAGCCCACGTTTCGTTACGTTTCGAGAAACTCCAGTGGTGGGCGGGGCTTGGCCAGCAGCGTCTGGTTGAGACTGGATTGCATCATACCCTAATATGGAAAGTGAAGTCCAGAACAAAACAGTCTGGAGGAGGGTGAAACTGTAAACAAAAACATCTATATCAAGGGGACTTTCTTTAGGGGACACCATTTATGATTTTAAAGTAAAATGAAAAGTGAAAATGAAAAACACCAAAGAACCCGGAATGCATGGGCTCCATAAACCAACCCTTAATTTTCTTTTATATCATAAAATATATTGATAAGCATATAGAGGTAGTAAAACAGAATGCCACATGATGGGTCAAAGTAACTCATATGTGGCTTGTGACTAATAGCCTAATGCTATATTGACAGCACACACAGTGCCAGACACACACACACACACACACACACACACACACACACACACACACACACACACACACACACACACACACACACACACACACACACACACACACACACACACACAATACTAGAATAATAATGCAATAAAAATTAACTCAGCAACATAAAATGTAAAATAGCCTAGCATAAAAACATCCTATAATATGAGTTCATGAAAAAAAATAAAAAACATATAGGGTTTTTTGAAAACAGCGTTTTGCACTCTAAATAATACCCTAATATGACTTTCTACTGACTAATATATAGGGTGAATTGCCCTAATGTGGGACACTGCCTAATGTGGGACACCTAAGGTCTAGTGTTTGTAGGTCCCCCATAAATTCATGAATGACATGAAACTCCAAATCCGGGTCAATATGATCAGCCTAATGTGGGACAGTACTTCAATGAGTCAAAAATGTGTGGTGGGGCATGTTTTAAACATTTTTCTTATTTTATTTTAAAGGTGACCTATAATTCAAAATTGAATTTACCTTGGTATAGTCAAATAACAAGAGTTCAGTGCATGGACATGACATAGAGTGAATCTCAAACTGGACTGTTTTCGCGTTCTCATTTAATTCACGTTTATGAAAAACACCCCTGAAAAACGGTCGGTTCTCCACACAATACCGACTGTGACGCAATAGTCGGGATCATTAATATGTACGCCTCCAAATATTTGCATAATGCCAGCCCTCAATGCCAGGCGGAACTGCGCAGCCGAAGCATGGCAGTTGCTCAGTGTGGATGTACACATGAACACAAAAGTATTTTTTAGTTCCTTCATCTGAGCCTCTGAAGAAACAATGGGTTAATTTTATTTTCTCTGGAAATTTCCAAACATTTCACCGACTGTTTCCTCAACTTGGGCTAATACAGAGCTGGCCTCCGATCGAGCTACCAAGCAACTTTCTGATGTGTAATTGTTCAAGTTCAGACAGGTAATCTTTCTCTCAAAATCGTTCAATACTGTTTATGCATCAGTAAGTCAAGCCAGTGACTAAAATATCAGCTTCACATCGTTTCTTTTAGTAGGATGAAAATAATCGTATTTAAATTGTGAACAAATTATATACAGAAAGCGATCAAAGAACAATCTTTCCACACAGCGCGAGTTTATCTGGACACTTGCCAAACTCGTTATGAAATCAATGACGCACGTTACTGCACAACGAAGCTCTTACTGTATTTACATCATCGTGTTTGCATTGGTGAAAGCCTTAGAGAGAGTGCAGAAACTGCTTTGCAATGATAAGATCTTCATGCTCGCGATCAACACACTGTCATCTGCTCAATGCTCATCACGGCAACATTTTATGTGATGGGAATAGATCTAAATACTTTAAAAACATCTCACGATTCGTTAATCTCGATAGCTGTTATAGTAAAAACGTATAATAGCAGTAGTAAAAGTATTCGGGAGAGAGTTTCACATGTAATGCGTTGCTATTTCATATGCAAGCATGTCAGCCAATCACAGCAGTGGCCGCGGTTACACTGAATCCCACAGCAGACACGCCCCTTCAAACAGAGTGTTCAAATCAGAGGCTAAAAGCAGGCTAGGAAAAATGCCATTTATTTCTAAATTATGATTATTTTTTATCTAAAAAACATACTAACATTATAAGGGTAACCCAGGAAACATTATAAAATAAAAAAATAAAAACATTCTGGCACCTTTAACAAAAATATGAATAATGTTTATATTAGACAAATCTTAACTAAAGAAAAAAATTCACCTAAGGCATTGATGAAATGGAAACAGGATTTTCATGACCTTTTTTCAGAATCTGTGGTCAGATATTAATAAATATGTAATTCCTAATAAATAAGTCAAAGAAACTCACTTTAAAATAATAAATAGATATTATGTAATGATTTTATCAGTAAATTTAAAGAAGGGGTTTCTCCATTATGCTGTTTTGGTAAAGAGGAAACAGAAACAATTGTACATTTATTTTTTAGTTGTAATTATACCAAATTATTTTGGTCCAAAGTTTATCTGTTTATTTTTTTAGGTGTTTTACAAATGCATCACTATACTGATATAATGGTCTTGTTTATGGATTGTGACAGTGGCGGGCCGTGCATTTCACACCTAGGCCTTCTGTCCTACCTGAATTAATAACTTTTAATAGTGTAGCAGCGCAAAAGACTCTCTATAATTGCTGTTTTTATTTTCCACCGGCAGTTATTGGGTTAATGCGGTGAGTTTGGAAAAGGCCGGTAGAGAGAAACGAGCGAGTGAGTTCGGCCGGTGCGTTTGTGTAGGCTACAGTTGTTCTTGCGTTCCGATTATAAGTTCAGAAACGGAGCCTCCCTTATCTTGTCGTCCAATGGTTACAATAGTCCTTTTTCAGACGTTACAATAGTATGGATGTTTGAAAAAAATTACGTTTCGATCATACATTTAAAAGAAAAATTAAGAAGAAAATCATATTCACCACGGGGAAAAAAGCATTGTAGCCTACTCACCAAAACTACTGATTATTTTTTACACAAAATCCATCCTTATTTCTTTCCTCAAGAAGACTTAAATTACTCTGTTGTACAGGTTATCTGTGCGTTTCAGTTCCAACAATGACGAGTCTAATGCTGTAAGTCGAGTCCCGTCATATTTCTAGCACAAGTTTTAATTCGCTTTATAGAGTGTCTGCTCGACAGAAGCAGTGGACACAGTCACCGCATAACCTGACGATGTGTACAGCTCTCACACAGAGTTTTGAACGAAAGCAATGAGATCAGCGGGACTTTTGCCTTCAAAATCATTCGTGGCATAACTTACATTAGTCAGTTTTTACCCGGACAGATCGAGCAGTGTTCCGTGACTCTGCGTTAAGCTCAGGCTGAATAAGGGATTTTTTCCGGTAGGTTGGATCCTGCTGGGGGTCGAGGAGGGAAAGAAACATTAATTTGTGGGTTGAAAAACTATTAAATCTACAGGAATATATTTTAATTTGCAGTTCGCTACAGATGCGGATAGCCTACTGACTACCAGTAATAGTACGCGCTCTGAGCATCCAATCAAAGAACGTGAAAATGCCGACGTTATTGTACGCCTGGTAGATGGCCCCGCTTAGCCTCGTGAGACCATCCTGATCTCGCGAGCTTTCAAGGTTTCACTCGCAGATCAGTCTGGATACTTTCCGTTAAAGAAAATTTGGGAGCAGTTCACCAAACGAACGTCCAATCAGCGTTGGCTTTGAGGCGGGTTGAGGTGTGACGCAACGAGAAGCGCGTCAGTTCAGTCTAAAGAACATGTCGGCTTCAGCGGATGAAACTAGCATCAGCGTGGCTATCGAGCAAGTTTTATCGGAATTACAGAGTATTTCTTCACTGAAAGAAGAGCAAAACACTGCTCTGGAGGCTTTTCTCAGAGGAAAAGATACGCTCTGTTAGTACGTCATATGCTTCGTTGATCTGATTGGTTGATTTGGCCCGTCTATCACCAACATAGGCCAATCAGCTAACCAGTATTTTCGCCCCTTACCAAAACTACTACAACGGAAGGTTTCCAGATGGATATGCGGAGCAAATCCATCTGGCGGAGTCAGGTTAGGCCCCGCTGCAGTCAAATCGAAATCTGATTGGCTGGTTAAATCTGACTGCTTATCTGATTGGTTAAAGCAACGGTTTCATTGCCATTCATTGTAAGCTACAGGCGCCCGCACTGTCGATTCTGAAGGCCTGAAGGCAGATTTCTTTGACCCTGGCAACGCATGATGGCTGAAATATGATTGGATAAAAGCGCTAAAATAAACATACACTACTTGAAGCAGCGCAACCAAGAGAAAAGCTATAAAATTAAGAGAATGAACTATTGGGAATAATTTAATACTCATTCATGGAAAAAATATATTAAAGTGCAAGTCAGTGATTCTGATAGTGTTTAGGCCAGCAGAGAAGGCCTTGCTGGCCCTGACGGCCCACCACTGGATTGTGATAATGGTTTACTGGAAATGGATAACTAAAGATTATGTTTCATTCATTCAGAACAAAGAAAATTACTAACTAAGATTTAAGAGAGAATCTAAAATAAAATAAAATTGTACTATTCTACATGTATCAATGTGATTTTTGGTATTTTATCATAGATTTTTCAGTGTCCCACATTGGGGTCACAACTGTCCTGTCCCACATTAGGAAGCTGCAGATTGTCTCAGACAACTTGCAATAAGAGCACTAATATGTCTATAATTTCTCTTCTGAATGGGTTATCTGAATTTTCTCTTTTGATTTGATTAGGACACATACTGGGTTTTTTAAAATGGTATTGGGTGTGGATTTAATGTTTTGGTTACACATCACAATATGTCACAGAAGTCTGAAGTGCAAAAAATGTCCCGCATTTGGCCAATTCACCCTATATATATATATATATATATATATATATATATATATATATATAGGCCTATATATTTTTGCTGTTGTTGTAAAAACACATTATCTTGTTGGACATAATATAGATTTCAAATTAAAATGATATAACAATTAATACTTTTTACTTCCAAAAAACTATTTTCAGTATTAAACAGTTTTTCATAGACTAGGCCTATATATTATTTTATGGACTATAATTATTCTGCCAACTTTCTCTCCTAAAAAGTGGCACTATGTCTTATATTTATGATCTGTACTGTTTCAGATCCATCTAACTGTTTGTAAAAAAAAAAAAAAAATTGTTGTAGTTGTAAACTGTTCAAGAATTAATTATCAGGCCATGTTACACAAATCATTCATTGTGAAAAGATTCGGCTAGAGTTCAAAACTGGCAATCTTTTTAGCATCAGCTGCTTCATAAAAGCTGATGACCTATTTTAGACACTTTTGTGACGTTCATGTGAACCCCATAAGGAAAGGGTTAACAGGCAATGTGATTATCCCATCTTGTGATCCCATTTCCAGCCATGAAAGAAGGTATTTTATTTGTGCAGGACGTATCTCACCACTTCAGAACTGCAGAGCTGCTAACCCCGGTAAGTGTTAAGATTCTGACTATGGGAATTCCAAATGCGGGATTCTTGTGACTGTATGAAAAATGTTACTTACCAGTTACCACTCTTAAAGGTTTATTGGCATCTCTGGTTCCATGCAGAACCTTTAACATCCATGCAATCTTTCCATTCCACAATTGTGGAAAAGGGTTCTTTACCTTTTTTAAATGTTCTTTACAAGAAAAAAAAAAAACTTTTAAGAACTGTTCACTGAATGGTTCTTTGGGGAACTTAAAAAAATCTTTTTGAAGTAAATATCACAGGGGTGATTGAAATAACTGCACTTTTTTTCTGTAATCCTATCTTCTTCACGTATTTGTAACAGAAAGGATTTTTGCATCTGTGGGGAAATTCTGATGAATGATGTTAGTTTCTGATAAGTAAAAAAAAAAAAACTGTAAAAGATTGCACCAGATTTTAAAAGAGCAAACAGCAATATAAATACCATTTAGTGGCCTTGGTGTTTTCTATGGTTAATGAACTTTATTTGGCCATCATGTTGGCCGCTGAATCTTTCCATTTAATTCTATGCATCTAATCATAGATTTGATAGGATTTTTTATATATATATTTGATGGTGACCTCACATTTGTGGATCACATTTATGGATCCCATGTATGCACTGTGGTTTTAAAGTGGTTTTAAAAACGGTGGTTTTAAAGTACTTTATTAATAAAGTTTAATTTGATTTCATTTTAATGATCTAAAGAACCTTTTCCCACTAGAACCATTCGTGGAATGGAACATTTCTTCATGGAATTCCCAGAGATGTCAAAAAAGACCTTTATTTTCAAGAGTGTGAAACGTAAAATTTGGAAATAGAAAGACTGAAACAGTAGGCTATGTTCTTATAAAATGCACATAGCTACTCCAATAATCTTCAATTAGCTACATTTACAATTTTTTACAGGGTAGTTACACCAAATGTGCTGAGACTTTTTGGCAAAAACTACCAAATATCTTACTAGAAATAACTGAAACCTTAACTCTTTCCCGCCAAACACGGAATTTTCCAGGTTTCTGTGTTTTCAGTTATACGGTAGGGGGCGCTATGACACATCTCCTGAAAGAGTACTAAATCTCCAGATCAAAACACATGCGAAGAAGACGCAGAAATAAGCTATTTCATATAGTCATATACGCATATGTAAAATAATCCGGTCATCAACATTAAAGAGCAAATCAAATTTGCCTAATGTTACTGAATGAAATGTCGACCCAGGACGAGCTATACGACTGTGAAGCATTGGGGTGTTGATGTAGGCCTACTCGTTGTACTCCATCTGTGTTAGATCATCTTTCTGTATCCGCTCCATTCTTTGAAAAAAAAAACTTGATTTTCTCAGCTTTTTGCTCAAAATGTTGCTTTTTAAAAAATAAAACATCGATATTAAAGGAACCATATGTAAGATTGTGGCTAAAACTGGTACTGCAATCACTTTCAAATTACTGTAGAGCGGTGTAACCCCTCCCCCCCTGACTCGAGGTTGCCAGATAGGCTGCAGGATTAGCAACGTGAGCGTCTGTCTTCAAATTCTTCTCCGTTTTCAGCCGTCTCCATCTTTCAAAGGCATCTCCTATACAAATCCTTGTTTTATTTCGGACTTTGTCACAAAGTATTTCAGAAACATTACGAGGTTTTTTTGGATTCGCAACGTTAGACCTTTTTTTATCCGACACGTTTGTAGCTGCAGCTGTGGTAACTACAGCAGAGCTGGCAACCCAGATGCCGCAACACTACTGACTTTGTGATTGGTAGATAGGGTGGCGCATCCGAGCAAAACACAACATGACAACATCAACATCAGTTGAGAGGGGCAACTTCACTTTTTAAATGACAATATCCTGGCCGGACTACTGTTGTCAGTGATATAAGTATTTGAAATGAACATGATTTCTTAATGTCTAGTGACATATCAGGGCCATTTTATGATAAATTGAAATACATTTCTTGGTTCCTTTAAGTGTTGATAAAAAAAAATCCATGAAGCTAGAAGCTATATTTCTTTTGATATGTTGCATGTTCAGATATTCATACAACAAAATATTCTGGGGGCCATGGAATTTTTGTGAAAATGATCAAAAGCACTGGCGGGGGCTGGCACCTTTTTTAAAAACGCTGGCGGCGAAAGAGCTAACATTCACAAAATATATTTTTACAGTGTTAAGAGCTCGATCAGCTCATTATGTGTCCTGATGTCGTGGTGGTTGGTGGCCGACCGTATTGAAGAGTGTGAGAGCAGTGACATGGAGACCGGGCCCCGCCCCCCGCCCCTTGCTGGTCCTGCTGTGGTGTTGGGTCCCCAGAGGCTCTCTTTTGCCTACCAGGGCCTCTTGGAGATTCCCTATGACACCATTCTTCAGCATCAGGACACTCTGGAGGTTCTGGACCTCAGTTACAACTTGCTGGATGAGTATCCTTTTGGGAATCAGATGTCTTGGTCATACGTTCAAAATGTTACTAACATTATAAGGTTTTCTTATGTAAATATGCAGGTGACAAGGACATAGAGCTTCTTATTTTTTACACAGATTGCAAAAAAAAAAACACCCTCATGTTTGCCCTGTGTCTTTATCTAGTATTGATTGTTTCATGTAACTACTGTTGGTAGCCCTGTCGATGTTGTTGTTCTTGTTGTTGTTCTTGTTCTTGTTCTTGTGCTTGTGCTTGTTGTGCTTGTTCCATGCCTCGTCATGCCTTTGTTTTATGTTTGATCACGTTTTGTTAATTAAAGTTGCATTTGGGTTCTCACTACAACTTGCCTCCAGAGGATTCATTAAAGAATACTAGATCAAATATGGACCCAGCAATTCGTCTCTTCGGCCTCAGCCAAGGTCACTGTCCAATTGAAGATTACGTGAGGGAGTTTTGTGAGGTTTGCCATGAGGTAGACTTTGGAGATGATATCTTAAAGGACATGTTCCGCCAAGGACTTAATGAGCCTCTTTATCACCTCATGCCTGGCAATACCCCTCACAGCACTGGTGCAATATATTGACTTTGCCTTGTTGTGGAAAGGCTCGTCATTTACTGTGGGCTTTGCGGATGAGGAGCCTCGCAAGCCCATGGTATCCTCTAAGCCTGACACACTCCACGTCATTCCCACTCAAATGTTGGCAACTCCAGTGCTCACACCGCTCGCCAGCACAGTCATGCCAGAGCCTCAGTGAATCCTCTGGAGGCAAGTTGAGAACCCAAGTGCAACTTTAACAAAACGTGATCAAACATAAAACAAAGACATTGAACTCAAAACAAGAACATCAGGGCTACCAACAGTAGTTACATGAAACAATCAATACTAGACAAAGACACAGGGCAAACATGAGGGCTTAAATACACATGAAGCCTCATCCCGTCATGGCCGCTGCCGAGCTTGAGCTTCTTCACGTCATGCCTGGCGAGCCTGAGCCTGAGTAGGTACCTGATTAAGGCACCGTCTCCTTGGCCCCCTGAACTGTCGGATCACCCTGGCTTCCTACACTGCCGGCGCCGCCCACGCTCCATAGCCCAGGCCCGCCATTGCCATGTCCTGGTCCCGTTCCCCTGCACGGGCCTGGCCCTCCATCCCTCCCCCAAGACCGCCTCCGCTCCTCCACCCTCCTGAACTATTGTTTTCTTGGTTTTGCTGGGCGTCGGGAGTCGCCCATAGAGGGGGGGCTATGTCGCGTTTTGGGTTTTGTTCCTTGTTCCTGTTTCATGTATGTTATGTGATCCCTTGTTCAAGTCATGTGATCCTGCCATGTGTTCCCTTGTCTGATGTGTCATGTTGTCATTGGTTCATTGTTTCATTGTTCACAGGTGTCCCTTGTCTAGTCGTTAGTCTTGTGTATTTAAGCCCTCATGTTTGCCCTGTGTCTTTGTCTAGTATTGATTGTTTCATGTAACTACTGTTGGTAGCCCTGTCGATGTTCTTGTTTTGAGTTCCATGCCTTTGTTTTATGTTTGATCACGGTTTGTTAAAGGTGCTCTATGTAACTTTTCTACTAAAATGAATCCTTTTTTTATTGCCTGTGTGTGAAGGGGTTGTAATCACACATTAAAATGATCCACTTGTCGAGTTTTGCTATTACCTCTGAACGCCAGTATTCCTATTTCTATGTGAAGTCTCCGGGTCGGATTTACCGCGAAATCCAACGGATGTGACGTGCATGCGCGCTCCCGAGCCTCTCTCCTTATATACAGTCTATTGTAGACGGTCAGGGAGTTACGTCCGTTAAAGGCACACGTTTTTTTCGGCTTATATCTCAGTCAATCTTTGATCAATATTCCCAAGACTCTTAATCGTTCGTAGTGCTGGACGGGGCCTTTCGAACGAGCCCACCCCCGAGGTCCAACTCGCCCGGCTCCCCAAGTTATAGCCGTTCGAAATCGGGGGTCCCAGCGAACGGCGATCCAGTAGGGGGCATCCCCCAGGCCCGCCACTCTAGCGTTCGGGCAAGGGTTCCCCTGGGACCTCCTCCCCCGAATTTGAGCTCTCTGGGTCTTTGCGTTCCAGAGATACGAGCGATTTTCTTCTGAGATCGTGACGTCACCGGCGTCCGCAATTTTTACAGCTGCTAATGGTTTTCTGCTAATATCTCCGCGAAAACACCACCAAAAACTATGGAACTTATATGGTTCTTTCAGCTCGACTATGGTCCCAACGAGCTCGGTGCTCGCCGAATCCGTCAAGTATTCGCCGAGATATTTGCGTAATAGACGGTATTGTCTATGAGTTCGAGCACGAGCGCTCTTGTAAAATTTGGTTGCAATCTGAAACATCACCACTAGAGGCCGCTAAAAGTTACGTAGAGCACCTTTAAAGTTGCACTTGGGTTGTCACTACAACTTGCCTCCATACGTCCAGAGGATTTATTCCAATGGCATTGCTGCAAAAAAAAACTTTTGGAACCTTGATTTTTTTTTTTTTTTTTTTTGAAGAAAGGCTATTAAACAAGAACACACGCAAGCTTATCATGTTATTGCCCTTAACCGAGCTGCTGACGGAACCCTGCTCTTTTGGGGGGTTTGGAGAAGCTCAGCACACTCATCCTGGACTGCAACAACTACAACGCACATGTCAAATTCCCCTACATGCCCAGCCTCACCACCTTGTGGATCAACAAGAACAAAATCAGCAACCTGCCCATTGTTGTGGAAGAGATCTCCTGCAAGTTCCCAAATATCAAGTGAGTTCACCCAAGAACATCCATTTCTGCATTAGCTCAGTAGACATGATCATGTTTTCTTTACAAGTGACTTCCAGTAATTGACCTGTTTGGTTTCATTGTAGAATTCTTAGTATGATGAACAATGAAGCAGCACCCAGTTACTTCAATGGAGGCAGTCGGACGCAGTATATCGATTACAGGTAAGTGTGAGAAGAACCGATGTATGAAATCTGATAGTACAGTAAACATTCAGTCTGTACTTTTTGGCCTGTTTTAAGAATTTCAAAAGAAGCACACCTTAGCATACTTCTAAAAAGAATAGTTATTACAGAAATAATAAAAATATATTTAAGTGTGAATGTTTTCAGACAATTAATTGCAATTAAACTAAAATATTCTTGTTTAAATTTATATTAAATGCAATTAGCAGAACTTTAGAGTGCTTTCCTAAGTAGGATTTAATTACATCTTTATATGTCATTTCATAATTCTATTGTATTTGAAATATGGTTATTATACCTTAATGTAATTTTATTGAAACTTGTATGCCATCTATTTAAGTATATTTGTAATTACACGTTTGTAATAATGAAGTTTCAATTAGTAGATTTAAAATATTAAAACTTTAAATGTATTATTAAATAACACACTACAGTTAAAATTATAATCAAGTACTTTTATGTATATTTAATGTACATTAAAGGGAAACTTTTAATTTGACAGTATGAAGTGCTCTTTTTAAGAAACAGTCATGAAAGTGTACTATCTTTAAGCACACTTAAAGTTTTTGATCATATACCTTTAAGATTTGAAGTACACAAGTGAACATTCTAGACAATTAAGCACACTTATTTTTCACAAGGGCATACTATACCATCTAGTGGTCATGTTTTGCTTAAGCAGATTTCAGTGTAATAACAAACCTCGCTGTGCTGTAGTATTTAAGACAGCAAGTTCAGCATTCATTTACAATTTGATACAATCTAATACATAGAGTCCATACTACCAATACTATATCTCTCTATGACAGGCAGTATGTGATCAGTCAGATATCCAGTCTGGAGGTGCTGGATGACACAGAGGTGCAGGTAAAAGAGCGTGAACTGGCCCAGAAGACCTACAGGATGCAGAGAATCAAAGAAAGCCGCAGCAGGAGGAAGGAGCTTCATCGCTAACAGAGAATTGTTCATCATTTCACACGCTTTTCCCGAACTGTATGCATGCCAAGACACTTAGGCTACTATCCCACAACAATCCAAGAGGTCGTTCCAGACTTCATGAGCTTCAAAGCTTGTTGACAGGAAGTGATTCATGCAGATCATGGATTTGGAAGCCGCAACAAATAAATATGAAAAGGCATTGGATATTTTTTTTACTACTTTTTTTTCTTTTTAAAACAATGATTTGACAACAGTAATGATCTGCATAACAATGAGGAGTTTTTAAATCAATACTGCATATAAAACATTTAAAAATCTAATTTAAAGTAACTGCCACACACTTTTTATCTAGAGAAATCCTTTAATAGTACACTAAAACAAAAATCTGATTAAATGAGCCACATTCAAAGCCATTGTAAATACTGCACACAATTTGAATTCTATATTATCGTGCCAAGCTTACAGTTATATTACATGGAAGAATAGAATGTAACTATTAAACTATTAAAGTCCACACAAATTCAAAATTGGCATTTCTTGTTTTGTGATCAATTGTATCTTCATATTGCTGTTGACACTATTTTATAATAGCAATAGGCCCTAAGCCAATAATAGGTGCAATCTAGTTTATTGCTTTGCTATCACAGTTGCTAAAGCTGATTATTGTTAGCAAATAAAAATCGCTCTTAGGGGAGGCTCTTGTGATAAGTCAAGTCAGGATGGTAAAATAAATTGCAGCCAACAATTTTCTCTAACAGCCATTCCTGTATCTAATAACCGCTTCGTAGAAACATGTGCTATATATTTATCTCTGTTGTGATGTTTTAGCATCTTCATGTACAGTTTGTTCTTAAAAACAATCAGATTACAGTTCCCCCTCCTCATATTGGCCTAATGCACTGCAGGAAGATTTGTTATCATGCTAACAGACCTTAAAATTATTTTTGTAGCAACCGAATTCATGCACATCTTCCAGACCCGTCTTACTAAATTATGTAAGTGTGAAGAACTAATGTTAAACACGTGCTTTGTGCTGTTTATTACAGTAGCAATGAACTAAATATGACCTTTAGCACACATTCATAACAGAGCAAAGAAACAGGGCAGAAGCGCTGAATCATTACCGTAATACACGGAATAAATATACACAATTGTTGGATCATGTCTTAAATGACAAAAATTAAAGTGTAGAAATGTAAATGTATTTTATGGCCAATCGTTTTAACATATCTGTTTAGAACTAAATGCTATCTTTTTTTATTTTGTATTATTAGTAAGAAACCAGTTTTCCATTTCACATCAAGAATTTCGAGAATAAAGTAGGCTAATACAATTTTCAAATTAAGTCAAAATTATGAGAATAAAGCAGTACGAGAATAAAATCTTAGCAACACGAGAATAAAGTCATAATTATTTTGAGAATAAATAGCATTGTGAGATTAAAATCGTAATATTTCGAAAATAATGTCAACATTACAATAACAAAGTCATAGAAATGAGAGTATGAGAGTAAAGTCATAATATTTTAAGAATGAAGTAGCCTAAAAATTATGAAAAAGTGTAGCATTGTTAGAATAAAGTAAAAATTACAAGAATAAAGTCGCACTACAAGATTAAAGTCATATTAATAAAGTTGCATCATAGTGAGACTGAGTCAAATTTTTGAGAACAAAGTCGTTACAATAAGAATAAAGTATTTTATTTATTTATTATAAAGACTTTTTCTCATAATTTTGACTTTATTCATAAAGTATTATTTTATTCTCATAAACTTAGATTTTTTTTAACATAGCACTGAAAATGCTATTGATATCCAAGTTTGGCAATATCCATTGGTATTATTAACAAATTGAAAAGAAACTGTTCTGATTATTACGGTACTATTTTTTTTAATTACTGTACTATTATTTAGTGATTTTTTAATCCATATGACAAATTTAAAAAAGGTAGCCTAGTAAAGTGAAATACAATATTTAGTAGGCTAATAACTATTAAGTCACTTGCTACTTACTAATAATTAAAATAAATAGGCTAGTAACGTAGAAAAAGCTCGTAAAATAGATTCTAGCTAGTTTTAGGAATAAATGTTTAAACAGCTCGTCACAGATACTATGTAAATCAACAGGTCTTTAATTGTGTAGATTCAGTATACGTAGTTAGGCGATGCTGCTCTGTTAGAGTAATTACGGTAAAAGCGTCAACGCGGCTCTAGAGTTAAAGAGGCCGAACATCCATTGACAGCAGCACTCAAATCTACTGTAACTCTACGAGGTAAGCTGATTGATCAAGCTGTTATTATACAGAGAAATCGTGCTCTATTAACTGTATGCAACTGCATGCAACATCTACTTCTCGTCTGCATGTCTCATGTCATTGCTTTCGGAGTTTGAGTTCATAGTGTTTGTAACAGTTACTGTAGTATGTCGTAATAACAGTGCTGTTGCATATTAAAATGATCCAATTTGAGTTATTAGCACGAGGATCATGGCAGCTTGAATGTGTGCATGTTAGACCGAGATCGAGTGGGGGATATTTGTTGTTTTGGCTCTTAATTGGATGAGTTAACATTAGCTAACCGGCTATCTTCATGTTGACAATGAAATAATTGATATTGCACATGCTAATATAGAGTAGTTGTAAAATTGGTGCAAATGTAGGTTACACTTGTTCATTAATTTTCGTTTCTTTTACGTGTTATGTCAGTCAAAGACGGAAAACGTGGACTAGCTTCAGTAAATCATTCTCTAAACAAGTTCTTGGAAGACAGGGCAACACATAAGCCTCCTTTCATAGTTCAGAGTCTAATACACACAACCATAGAAAATGGCATTTGACTGTACAGTCACAAGACTGGGTGGGAATGTACAGATATTACCTCAGATTATGTTTCCTTGAGCCTGTTATGCTTGGCACCAAGTCTCACACTTTGAGATGTCAGATAGTGATTCATTGATTAAAGTAACGTTAACCAAATAAAAGCGGGTTTTGGTGATTTTGCGTTCAGATAGAATGTTTTATTCTTGTTATCCTACCTTTGTAAATCACAGAAACATATACAATACTACAGAGGAATTGCATTTCTTATGATGTGAAATTGGCCAAGTCTAACTTTTTAAATCAGGATTTCCAAAACAGGGGCCACCAGGAAGTAATAGGGGCCTGTGGATAAAATAATGAAAAATAAATAAATAAATCTTATATAATATATTAGACATATTTATAATATACATTTTTCACTGTATAAATTGGGTCTTTAAACAAGCAACTATATAGGTGCCTTTTCAATTTTAGGATGGGTGTTCCTCACATGAGAATGATCATATTCAGTGGTGTGTGCCATCTAAAAGCTTGAAAACCCTCAGTTTTAATCATGATAATCGCTTCTATCATTTGGTGTAAATCTACCTTCCCCCTCGGGTTGGCTGGAGAGTTTAGTGGCTCACCCTGTTTGGTCGGTTGTCTCTTTGTCTTCTGTTTGATATGTTTCACAATTCTGCTGCCATTATAGTAGGAAAAACCCACTTTGCTTGCTGCACAGCTTGGCCTCATTGCTGGCTCATATCCCAGGAGGACTGAGTTAAACTTGTTAACATGATAACGTGAAGCAGCATGCTAGGATAAAGCATGTTGGCACACTAGGGGCTCTTTTGCCCTCATTTTTCCTCTAAGGTTTAAATGTCTTTGAAATCTTTGGATTGTGAACTGCTGCTTTCTGCTATAGTATGCATTACTGCAAAATCATAAATAGTTAAGCAAGGAATAATGTACATCCAGCCGGTTGTTATCTCAGAATAAACCCTTACAGGATGATTAGGTCTTGCATCACCCTGAAGGGGTTTATTCTGCGATAACAACCAGCTGGATGTACATTATCCAGCTTATTACACGGCTGCTTGCCACATAAGTAAATAATTAGACATAAAATAGGCTATTGATCTGAGTTAAAATATTTTATTGGCTCTTTAAATGCAAAGCTTCCACAGAGAAAGCAGTTGCTAGCAAGTTGAAAGTTCAAACTAGACAGACATTTAAGGGATACGGTTCAATCATACCACTTATTACACGGTATTTCACCACATAAATAATTAAAGTTTTAAATCGTACGTGTTTGTTATCTTAATCCATAACAGTGAAAACAATCTTCGGAAAATGGCAGCAACTGCATTTGAACGAAACAAGAGAGAGTGAGGCCATGAAAACGGATGACACAATTAAATAACTGTACACAAAATATTGATTTGAGTTTTAATATTTTATTAGCTCACCAAACTCAAAACTTCAGTTCCTAGCAAGCGTAAAGCCCCGACCTTTGTAACCCGGATGAGCCTGTGCTATCTGTTTTTATCGGGAATAACATACCGCTGGATGGCTTGATTGACCAATCAGATTCAAGTATTCCATAGAGCCTAGTAATAAAGGTGAATATTCAATGGTTGTCTTTTTTCATTGAATCCAAATGATTTTGCCTCATAAAAAAGTATTTTCTTAATTAAGCATGGACCGACACTGATTAGCCAAAACATTATGACCAGTCACAGGATGAAGTGAATATTGTTTATCATCTCTTAAAAATGCCACATATTCTGGTCTGGCCTGGGTAGATTAGATGGTAAGCAAGCAAGCAATCAGTTCTTGTAATCAATGTGTTGGATGCAGGAGAAATGAGCAGGAATAAAGATCTGAGCGACTTTGACAAGGGCCAAATTGTTGACAAGCCGACTGGGTCAGAATATCTCTTAAACGGCAGGGCTTGTGGGTTGCTCCCTGTCAGCAGTGGTGAAAATTTACCATCAGTGGTCCGAGGAGGGACAAACTACAAACCGGTGACAGGGTGTTGGGTGCCCACGGCTCATTGATGCACGAGGGCAACGAAGACTACCCCGTCTGGTCCGAGCAAAAAGAAGGTCTACTGTGGCACAAGTCACTCAAAATGAAAGATGGTTATGGGAGGAATGTGTCTCAACACACAGTACATCAAACTCTGCTGCATGTGAGGCTGCATAGAGGAGACCAATCAGAGTGTCTGATGACCCCAGTCCACCACTGAAAGCACCTACAATGGGCACGCGAGCTTCGGAACTGGACCTTGGAGCAGTGGAAAAAGGTCGCCTGGTCAGATGGTCCCATTTTCTTTTACATCACGATTCACGTGGACGACCGGTATGTGGAAGCCGTTTACAAGTGATGGGGAAATGATGGCACCA